TTGCGTTGTTAAACTTAACCAACTTAAACCAACAGACGACTATCTAAGTCTGATCAGTAACTAAAGTCTGTTAGTTTCTACATAATTATTATTCCCTCTTTGATGTCCAAACTTTTATGTTATTAAATATACAAACATTTTTAAAATATTCGAAAATTTGAAATGTATAATATATACAGGGTGGCCCATCGAAAACGTTCCGCAAGGCATAACGGCCAGGGTATTCTTTTTTTCAAAAAATCTAAAAACACGTCAATTTTGTTTGTGAGGGGGCCAACTTTTGCCCTAAAAATGATTGCAAAATCTTCAACCCTCTGAGCGGGGGTGTCATCCCCCAACTTTTTTCAAATGGGAAGGGGAGTCAAGTGGCTCCGCAGTGAAAAGAGCTTTCGATTCTATATATTTCCCCGCCTCGTTTTTGAAAATCGGTCGAGTCATTGAGAAAATATGAAGGATTGAAATTTGAAAAGTTTATTTAAAAATTTATCAGAGTAAATGATAAGGATAAATTCCTTCGACCAATTTGAGTTTTTTTCTTATTATTTCTAGATGTTTACGCATTTTTTCACTTGCCACAAGGTTGAACGATCAGGTGCGGTAGTTGCTAGATAGCTGTTCTGTGACTTGTGCGTTGAAGTTCTTCTCAATATCGTTAAACTGACCTACAATAGAATTTCCAAAAATACCAGCCCACACGTTCAATTTCTGAGGGTTTTGTGTGTGCACCTCGTGAGAAACCCTGGGCTTGTCCTCAGCCCAGTACCGACAGTTGTGCCGATTAACTACATCGTTCAAAAAGAAAGTACACTCGTCCGAAAAACACACATTAAATAGGAAATTATTATCATTCGCCCCTCGTTCACTCATAGTTTCACAAAATTGCAAGTGACGATCAAAATTGTCTTCGTTGGGTTCTTGTACCAACTGAATTTTGTACGGGTGGAAACTTGTGTTTTTAATATCCTTTGAACATTTGTACGATTCAGGCCGGTTCATTGGCTAATTTTCTTGTACTCAGCGTACTATCCATGGCAACTTGGACCAATACGAATATCTCCATAGCTTCATTTACTGCAGAATTTTCCTTCTGCCTCTTTTTATTCATAACGGAACCAGTTTCGCGAAATTTTGCTACTAACTCGCGAGCAATTTTGCCTTAAAGGTTTTTGTCAGGATGGCGTTCATTGAATATCTGCGCAGTCCGATTGCCACATTCATTTTTTTTAATAAAGTTCGATTATTTCCACTTTTTCTGCAAGTGAGTGCATCATAATAATTGTTAAAAAGTTTAACGATATTGAGAAGAACTTCAACGCATAAGTCACACACAACTATCGCACCTGATCGTTCAACTTTGTGAAAAAACCAAGTGAAAAAATGCGTAAACATCTAGAAATAATAAGAAAAAAACAGCAAATTGGTCGAAGGAATTTACCTTTATCATTTACTCTGATAAATGTTTAAATAAACTTTTCAAATTTCAATCCTTCATATTTTCTCATTGACTCGACCGATTTTCAAAAACGAAGCCGGAAAGTATAGAGAATAGAAAGCCCTTTTCATTGCGGTGCCACTTGACCCCCCTTTTCATTTGAAAAATTGGGGGATGACACCCCGCTTAGAGGGTTGAAGATTTTGCAATCATTTTGGGGCAAAAGTTGTCCCCCTCACAAACAAAATTGACGTGTTTTTGAATTTTCTGAAAAAAAGAATACCCTAGCCGTTATGCCTTGCGGAACGTTTTCGATGGGCCACCCTGTATATATGATCTTCGTATGTATTTAAACACAGAATATAAAATTAAAAATAGAAATTATGCTAGACTTGAATTTAGATTCGACCTTTCAAGTATTAGAAACAAAAATAATTTCTGATTCATCATGCATCACTGCTTTTACGCTACAATTAAAAAAATACTAATATTTTAGATAGTTTATAACAAATTTTCATAAATTTATAATATTTTATTTTATTAGAATTGGGGAGAATTGAAAAAAAACTGCACTCACATAGTCACAGAATTAAAACGCTATATAAGATAATACAGATATACATCATACATTTAGATACCTATAACTAGATATAATTTGCTGCATAATATATTTATCCATAAACATAAACAGGTTTCAGTTTAATGCTTCTACACAGGTAATACAAATACTATTGTTGTTTTAAACAAAAGTGTACGAACAATTAGTATCGTGCATTTAAAATTTAAAAAATACGAAAATCCTCTCTATAAATATTGGCACAAAATGAAAAACCAACAGGTTGTTTAGATTCGAATTTTGCATGAAAATAAATTTTCTGGCAAAAATCGTTACATGCGTATTTGCCTCAGAGTAATAAGAAAACAAAAATACGTTGTTTTTTTTAAATACAGCTATGTCGATAAACCCGTTTATTTATTTCGCATTTTTGTTGAATTCGTTGAACACCTTGTAGAATGTAAAATGAGTGAAAGGGGGTGAATCACCGCGATCATAAAGATCTATTGTGTCCCCCTTTCTTGAGTTATAACTAACCTAACCTAACTCATCATACAGTCTATAACTCATCATACATTGGAATCTTCCTGTTGTAGGGAGAACAGGGTACACTGAAAAAAATATAAGTAATTTTACAAAAAAAATATTGATATTAGAGTATTTTTATTAAGAAACTTTTTAATAAGAATATTTTTGCATAGTTTCACAAAAAAATGTAGTTTTGCGTAAAAAGTGACGCCACCTCACGTGACTTCTTGTGAAGCTGATGCGAATTAAGTAATTATTGATTGAAAACGTAGAGTTACTATATACATACTGCCATTACTCGCTGACGAGTATTCGACACACATCAAAAGATGGTCAAGCAAGGCGTTTTCTTTCATGAGCTTTTCTGTGACTGAAAAGCCCGATACGTGATGTTATTTGCCTACCGCACTCCGGACATTCAAAAATCTCATTGCTTTGTTGCCTCTTTACTTTTTGGTTGTCGCTGTTAACTGAGTTTACAATTCTTCTCCATTAAGTTCTATTGTGAACTGGTTCTCCCCACTCATTCTGCATGTTAATTCCCCTTAAGTTTTCGTGGAAAATGTTCTTGTAACTTTTGAGTTGTCCACCCGGCCTCCTCTTACCGTCTACAAGCTTACCGTAAAGCACAGATTTTTGTATGCGATTTTCTTGCATTCGGCATACGTGACCAAACCAGCCCATCTTAAGTGGGATTTTGTAACCATGACTCCAATACTCTCGCAATTAGCTTTTTCAAAGACCGATAAGTTTGAGACATGATGGAACCACCGGATTCTTAAGAGTTGTCTAAGGTGTCTCTGTTGCCTAACCTACACCTCTGTCCTCTCTCCAGGAACGTTGTTTCCCCGGCGGCACTCTTTGTAAATACTACTTCGTCGGGGCGTTCTTATTTGGTGTTACTGCTGTCTATTCTTCGTAGGTGGTGTGAAGATCCTTGAGTATGGTCTCAGCATACTCCGCTACCTTGTTCCATGCCGATTGACTCTTCAGCATGCAGTCCACTATATTTTCTGGACTGATGGACAAGCCTAGATTTCTCTAGGGTTCTGTCCGTATCTCCTCGTATGGCATCGGAAGAACACGTGCTCCGCATCTTCGGTCACCACGCGGCAATGGTGACAGTTCGGGGAGTCACTTCTCTTGAATCTGTGCAAGTATGCTCGAAAGCATCCATGCCCAGTCAAGAGTTAGGTGTCTCTGTTGCAACTGATTTAATGCGTTCATGTGTCGGCGGTACGGCACCCAAGTTTTGCTCCCATATAACATGGTGAGGATTATAATTGCTCGATACACTGCAAGTTTCGTTTATGTACTCAAGTCATGATTGTAGAAAACCTTGTCTTTTAATTTCCAGAATGCTCTTGAGGCGCTGCTAATCCTGTACTGAATTTCAGAGTCGATAATGGCCTTTTCCGAAATCAAAGTGCCAAGGTAATTAAATTCCGCTGCATATTCCAATAGATTGGAATCGATGATTTCGACCGCTGGAAAGTATAAAAGGACTTTCTCACGTAACAAATAAATAATTTTTTAATTATTGTTACCGAGGCCCGGTTCTGGCGATGGCCAAAAAGATCTGAACCCTAATTGGTAGTATTAATTAGATTTTCCAGAACCGTACTAAAATATTTTCGTTTAACGATTGTGAAGTTCGTCAATTAGCAAGCAAGGGATGGTTCTCAAAAGTAAAACCGATAAAAAATTGAGTTTCAAATGAAAATATTATCAAATTATTAAGTAATGAGAAAGTAAACATGAACACAAATAAAAAACACAAGCGAAAAAAAAAAGAAAACATATAGGTAGCTTAAAAATTACATCAAATAACATCAACCAACCTCGAAACCGATTTAACTAAATTAGAAAAAAAAAATTTTAATTAAAGATGAAATGCCTATAAAAACACAAAAAAATATAACTAATACATTCAGCAATATTATACTAAATAATAAAGTAACATATTTAAACTTCAATAATAATTGCAATATAAACTTCAAAATAGCTTCAGAAGTAAGAACAGTAACAGATAGCTTTACTACTTATTTAGAAGAGTATGATTTGGACCGCTAGAAAGTATCGAAAGTCTTTCGCACGTATAACAAAAAATATGTTTTTAATTATTATTACCGAGTCCCGAAAGTACCGAAAGAACCTGGAATTAGTAATTTTGAGTCCCGGTTGTCTGATGTCTCAAAAGAACCTTGAATTAGCGGTACTTTTGGTACCGGGATTTTCCAGTTCTGAACTCAATTCACCACCAACGACAATATCTCCTAAAGAAAGATTATGTTGTCAAACGGCAAATGCCATAACGTAAATACAGAGAAAAAGTATGTAAGAATTCGACGTTATTATACTGTGTTTTTATTCCTCTGAGGTAATACAACTGAGTATCCAAAACAAAATTCTAGTATTTTAATATGTCAGTCGACAACTCGGTTGAATTTCGGATTCATAACTATCAAAAATCGCAATGTTTCATCGTGCATTAGTAGTTGTTATGTTATTTTTAGACAACAATGAGAACATTTTCTGAAATTAAACATGTTTCGCCGATTATTAGCAGCAGAAGTTTCGATATAGTTCTTCAATTCGTGTATAACGATTTTATTTATTTACTTAGCTTTACTAAGGTAGGTGTTTGATATGCTATATATGCCATTTTTTGTAATTAGTGGGTTATTTTGTTCCCTAGGGCTGGTATGATATATCGTTTAATCAGGGAACACCTCTGACTGATATCGATGATACTTTTTACATAATTAACAGGAGTGGCTTTGGCTCAATGTATTAACATTCTGTGCTTATTTGAAAATGGATTGTATTCCTTAATTTTTTAAATTTTTGTTATATGTTATATATAGCTCTTTGAACTTTCTTCTTATACTTCCGAATGCATTTTGAACTCTTTATTGTAAATGTTGAGATGTATTGATTTCACTTTTACAATCGACATTATGTAATGACATTAAAAAAACAGAGCCGGACTTGAAATTAGGCTAAATAAATTGTGTTCAATGTCCGAAAGAAAAGAAATATTAAGTATGGCATATTATTGTAAGGAGACCTGAGTTTCTTTCAAAACCTGAAATAAAAAATGCCGGACCCGCATTTAAAAAAAAATTAAGTTGGCCTCTGTATATCACAAATTATAAGCTAATTTAAAAACCTAAAAACACTATCAGATAGCACTAATAATGTGGCTATGAGAATGTGCAATTAGTTTTTTAATTTTCTAAAAAGTAACGACAGGAAAAAATAAAATTGATTTTCAAAAAATCCGTTTTTCCAAAAAACTCAGCAATCCTTGAAATTTTTAAAACTTCTTTGATGCCATCTTGGTAAACATCTTGGTGAACAAAGCTCAACTTTGCCCCAGTTTAACTATGTTCGTATCTATTTCGGCTACCGAGATACCAATGCTCGTACCCCGAATTTGTAGCACTCTGTATACGTCAAGTTACTTAAAGTTACTAAGTTTTTATGTCCTACCCTTTGCTCTTTCTCTTTTTATTCTATCTGTACCAACAAATAAAATAGTTGGTTTAGAATCAATTTAGTCCGATAACATAATAAATAAAATAGGTCCGATGTCAGACCTAATGGGCTAAATCAGCTTATGTCACGTAAACACTGTTTGGCTCAAACATATTTTGATAGTTTAGTATGTTATGTCCACGGGTCCCACAGTGACGAAAATTGGTTTTGACAGTTTTGCTATAGTAGGGTAGTCATTTTAAACTTAATAATGATAGTAAATAGGTTCCGAATTGCAACATACATTCGTATTTTACAATTTGTTAAATGCTTTCTAATTATATCAGTAATATACCTTTTTTGGACTTCAAATGGATTTGCTTTATTCATTTTGGCATAAATAGGGACTTAATATACAGGGTTGTTCACCACATACGACACGGAATATTCTAGCTAAACGATTAGATGTTTACAAATTGTAAGTTTTGGGTTCGTTGAAGGTCTATTAGAGCTAAAATTTAAAAATATTTTTACAAGATACAGAGTGTCCCAAATAAGTAAAAAATATTATAGTTGTATTTTTTTACATGGAGCACCCTGTATATTATTCTATTTTTGTATTATACGATTGAAATAAAGGTGAATTTGATTAAGGTTTGATCAATTATACAGTGTTTTTTATTTTTTACAATTGACATTTTTAAGTGTGATACAAATCACACTTAAAAATTACCGTTTTTGAAATATTTTCAATTTTATGAAATTGCAGTAAAAATTTTAAGACTTTATTTCTCCCAGAGTATCAAAGTTTTTAATATTAAATATTTACTGAAGATTATTTATTGATAAGATATTGTGTTACAATAATAAAAATTTTACTACCTTATACAGAGTGTCCAAAAATTTATATTAAATAATTACTAGCTTTAAACGGCAATAACTTGTTTAATTTAAATGGAATACCCTATATATTTTACGTGAATCAGATGCACAATGTAATTGTCTATCAAATTGTATTATACCATTATTTACCCATCTCTTCAAGTTTTCGTAGAAAATGCATTTTCTTATAATTTAGACCTCATTTATCACTATACCCGTGGAATATTGACATTTCAGATTTTTTTATAGCACCATAATATGTACAAAATGTTCAGGTGGTAAATATTGCAAGCCCATTGGTATACAAAAAAAACTATTTAAATTTTTGTAAAAGAGTATACCAATTAAATATACCACCATTATTTCCTACCAAAAAAACCAAAACTTAAATTGTTTTAATTAATAAATTATTCTAAATAAATGTGGATTTGGCTCAGAAATCAATATAATAATAAGTTATGAAAATGAATGTGTCTGTTTTTATAAATAAGCATTCGTCAATAAATGAAATAAAATTTATAAGGTGTTACTTTTTACCACACTGTCTAATACACACACAAAATTCAGTTTTTTAGTATTTGGAGCAATTATTACTACAACGTAAATAGTCAATTAATGTAGTTTAAATACTGGGATCATATTAATTGGTCCTCTCTAACAAAAAATATTTAAACAGTTTTTTTTTAGTTTTTTTAATTAAATAAGCGAACTATATCGACAATATTAGTATCTGTACCATTTGAAAATTTGTTACATCTTTAAAAATATGCTAAAATGTCAATATTCCATGGGTATAGTGATAAATGAAGTCTAAATTATAAGAAAATGCATTTTGCATTGAAAACTTGAAGAGATGGGTAAAAAATGGAACAATACCATTTGATAGACAATTACATTGTGCATCTGATTCACGTAAAATATATAGGGTGTTCCATTTAAATTAAACAAGTTATTGCCGTTTAAAGCTAGTTATTATTTAATATAAATTTTTGGACACTCTGTATAAGGTAGTAAATTTTTTATTATTGCAACACAATATCTGATCAATAAATAATCTTCAGTAAATATTTAGTATTAAAAACTTTTATACCCTTGGAGAAATGAAGCCGTAACATTTTTACTGCAATTTCATAAAATTGAAAATATTTCAAAAACGGTAAGGTTGTAAACCTTAATCAAATTTACCTTTATTTTAATCGTAGAATTTAAAAATAGAATAATATACAGGGAGTTCCATTTAAAGAAATACAACTATAATATTTATTTATTTTATAAATGTGTAAAATTTGGGACACTGTGTATCTTGTAAAAATATTTTTAAATTGTAGCTCTAATAGTCCTTCAACGAACCCAAAACTTACAATTTGTAAAAATCTAATCGTTTAGTTACAATACTCCGTGTCGTATGTGGTGAACAACCCTGTATAAGTGAATATTAAGTTATATGTAGAATAAGTTAAATCCTGTAAATTTTGTTTTTTTTTCTAAATGTGCGTACTCACTAGAGCATTTTGTTCCGAACGAACCAAACGAGCCGAGCGCGCAGAGCCGAATTCGGCAAGTGAATACGTGTTCGCGAGCAAAATTTCACCGAACCGAGCGCGCCAAACATTTTCGCCGGCTTGTCAGTACATGCATTTTGCTCAAAGGGTATGCGTTGTTCAGTGGGTACGGAGGTTCGTTGCGTTCATAGTGTTCGTCCTATTTGGAGCATTCGTGGCTAAAAATTTTCATTGTTTTGATTTTTCTTTGCTCAAACGAAATGGAGTGGAATAGAGAAAAGTGCCTTCAGTTAATAGACATTTATGAACAATATCCAGTGCTTTGGAGAGAGAGAGAGAATCCAAAGGATGGATTATACTATAATAAAGTTAAGAAGTTTGATGCGTGGAGGCAGATAGATGAGATCATGGGATGTGCTTCTGGAGAAGCAAAAAAAAAATTGAAAGTCTTCTGGCAAGTTTCAGAAGGGAGAAGGCTAAAGGAAAAAAATCTATTGGAACGGGAAAAGGTACATTTACACAAATTATAACGAATATAACAATAAAGCTTGTTTTTTTTAATGGAATAGTAATATTTTGTATAACGAAAAAAGCACCAGCAACGATAATAGTATCTTCCGGGTCCATGGACACACTCGATGCAGAACGGTGACGTAGAGATTCAAAGCGCGAATAAAAATTCAATACAACTGAACGTGGGAACACAGCGAACGCATCAAGCACTCTGAACATCGCGATCTTTTCCTTATTGAGTTCGTTCGTGCACGCTCGGCTCGCTTGGTTCGTTCGGACCAAAATGCTCTATTGAGTACGCACCTTAACATACAAATTATATTAGGTCGCTCCAAAAAATTTTGGTATACTTTATTTATAAAACTGTTTTACATTTCATTTAGGTTCAAAATAAGTTATTCATATACCATATATTAGTATTACAGTCATCTATCATCGGATTAAATATAACCGAGTAATTGGGAAATAACTTCAAAAGATAACTTAAACTCTGTTTTTCTCAAAACTGTTACAAAATGGTTTGCTTCTGAGATACAGAAATGGCTATTTGCATGTCAGTGGCTTTTTATTTCGCTTGTAACAGTAACTTCTAAGATCAGAGAACAGTTACTGCTGATTGGTACATATCTATATGTTTGCCGGAATTAATTGCTGAGTTTACTACTATTATCTACTGTTTTTTCTACCTCTGTATTATGCATAATTTAAAAGACATCCCTCGTATTAATAGAATATTTAAATTTTAAATAATTATAAATATTATTTTTCCCTGTTTTTACGATTTTTTTACTGTATGTACAGTGTGTCCCATTTTGGTTGAAATCATAGGGTATCTCCGTTATTAGTGAAGATAGAAGGGTGCGGTTTGCACAAACCTGTCCCACTTTTTCGTCAAACGGATGATGCTGCAAACAAAATTTTCATAGCCCTCTTCATTTCTGAGCTACAGGGCCTTTTCAAAAATTTTGCAATTTGGGAAACCCCCTGTATCTCTGTTATTGTTAAAGGTATCGAAAAGGCGAAAACTGCTTATTGTAGAACTTTTTACGTAGAATACAGTGGCATAGTCTGTTTTTCTACCAAAAAAATATTTTTGAAAATATGAACTAAAGTTATGTTTTTTCAAATGGAACACCCTGTATATTTATAAATCATATGATCTGTCTTGCTACGAGCTTCTCAAAAATATATATCACTCTATATTTATTTTAACTATTTACTGTAATATTTAAAATATATAATTTTCTTATTAGTAGGCC